AAAAATAAAATTAAAAAATAATAAAAAATAAATAAATAAAAAATATATACATGTGTAATTTCGTTCTAACTGTATTTTAAAATATATATATATATATATATATATATATAGATATCAAAATACATGTAGAATGAAATAATATATATCTATATACATAAGTATATACGTATATATCACTATATATATACCTTTATATAAATAAAAATAATTAAAAAAAATACACATACACACACACACACACACAAACACACACATATATATATATACATATATATATATATATAATAATAATTCTGCGTATATATTTATGTAATAATTTTACATAATTAGGTCATTTTATTAATTACAATTCGCAGGACCTGCCTGAGAACCCATGGCTGCAAGTTCAGGGAATTTAATTTGCTAGCACTATATTTAACCCTGTAACTTTCCAAGACACCATAAAACCTGTACATGGGGGGTGCCCCTTTACTTGGAAGACTTCGCTGAACACAAATATTAGTGTTTCGAAACAGTAAAATGTATTATAACGACGATATCGTCAGTGACAGTGACATTTTTTGCATTTTTCACACACAAATGGCACTTACACTGGCGATATAATTGTTGTGATACGTTTTACTGTTTTGAAACACTAATATTTGTGTTCAGCAAAGTCTCCCGAGTATAACAGTACCCCTCATGTACAGGTTTTATGGTGTTTTCAAAAGTTATAGAGTCAAATATAAGGCTTGCATTTCAGTTTTTTCACATTAAAATTCGCCAGGTTGGTTATGTTGCCTTTCAGACCGTACAGTAGCCCAGGAATGAAAATTACCCCGATGATGGCATACTATTTGCAATAGTAGACAACCCAGGGTATTGCAAATGGGGTATGTTCAGTCTTTTTTAGTACATTTGTGTGCCCCCAATCCTTTCTCTGTACACAGTATATTTGGAATTCAGACCAGATTCCTTTGGGGTTAAGCACCCCGCCAAGGCCCCCCCAGCTTCAGAGGCCCCTTTAGAGGTGGCCACAGGTGTGTATATATAGGAGGAGTTTTCAATAGTCAGGTCACTTTTATAATTTTCTCCATTCAACATAGATATCATCTGCATTAGTGAGTATACTCATTCTAGCACGAACACTTTAATTGTTTAGTTTCAACTCTGTTTTTAATTGCTTTCATTACTATATTTTTGTATACTCATTTTACTTTTACAAGGATTAAATAATACACTTTATTTTTAACACTAATACTATTTAATTTGTCCCCCACATTTTAGCGTAGGACCCACCAACATTGGGGTACTTTGAAAGCAGTGGTGGGCTTAACATCATATGGCCATATGGTGG